CCGTATAATTTGAAGCAGCAGTCTTGTTTTTTGAAAGCGGACCCTCATATCCTCTTACATTTTAAAAAAATGCTGGAAAATATTATTTTTTTATTTGTAACATAGAGTTCTGTTTTAAATGGTCAGTCCACCCAGTAGCGATATTTTATTTATAGGTGAAGCCTGCTGAGCTGAGTCAGCCATTGACTTACCATATGCATTGGAAAGTCTACATTGGCTAGTGTGTGTAACTAGACTTTTGTGTGTAAGTGCCTAAAAAGTCCCTAATCCAAGCCAATTGTATACTATTCTACGTATGGGATGTGGCACCTAGTATGATCAGGCTTAGATTAAATGTATTGGATAGTCCAGTAGTGTGATATCCCTGCTATAATTCCTGTCTCTATTCCTATTCACTTGAAAACTTTGGGTGTTCCCACTTACTTTGTGTGTTACAGTTTCTCTTGTTACATTCTCAATAATATAGGAGGAGTTGGTGGAAGATTCATTCGGGAGGACAGTGGCTGTTTTATTGCATAGCCTTAGGTTGGCCATATATTATACAATTTTTTGGTAGAATTCTCCTTTAGATTTAGCAATACCATATAATATGAGGTCAAACCTAAACACTTTCAATTTGTATGCAATCAGGCAGGCCCTTGCACTGCATAGTTGAAGGTAAATCTAAAGGAAATTGAATAAGAAAATTGTATAAAGTAGGGCCAGCCTCAGACTAGGAGGGTTACTAGTGGCCAGACAAAGACTTATCCATCTAAAGCAAAACTTCATTAAAAATGCCCCACTAGTGCTTTTTTAAAAACTTTTCACTATGTTTATTCTAATTGTTTTGTTTAATAGTTTATGCTCATGGTTAAGTCATATGGACAATTTGCAGGCTTATCAGATACCCCTACAGGTACCATGAATTTTTGGATTCAGTTCTTGAAATCCAATCCAGTCAATAGCCTTTTCCCTGTAACTGGCCTGTTGGCAATGAATACATTGTTGTATATTGTGTTATAGTAAGCCGCTGATTGTATTCTTTTTCTCTTGTATATTTCGGCCCAATCTCCCTCAATAAATATATTCTGTTTCTGGTCAATTTTAAACTGCTGTATCATCTGTGGTCTCGCAATTTTTTATTGAGAGTTTAATAGAAATTGGCTTGCAGCAGAACAATTGTATATTAGTGAAAAAGTAACAGTCTCAGTGAACTGCTGACCAATTTCTATATGTCTTTTAAAGTGGGCCAGTATTGTTTGATGAAAAAGCACATGTTGCTACTAAAACAGGAAAAGGCCTAAAATGAATCAGATTAGGGCGCTGCTGCTGTATATAAATCAAGCTAATTATAAAAGAAAGAAAAAACAATTCACAGCCAAATGCAGTGTGTGTTGCCAGTCTACACTGTCGCTGAGACTATCCATGAAAATCTTACTGTTTAGTGATGGGCCGAACACTCCTCTGTTCGGTTCGTGGTCGAACATTCGAACCTACCGAAAGTCTACCATCTGAGTATGCAGTAAGATACCGTTCAGCTACTATATCAGTAGTGAAACACTCATTAATGTTTCAGCTGTCAGCGGGCTTTCCCGCTGACAGCTGAATGTCAAAAGAATTGTTGGCATTGCCTGACAATTAAAAAATAAAAAAAAAGGTGTGGGGTCCCCCATCCCATCCATATCAAGTCCTTCAGGTCTGGTATGGTTTTTGAGGGGAACCCCCATGCCAAAATTAACAAAAGGGCGAGCACCCCTCCTGAACCATATTATTCCACATGCCCTCCCCCCCAAAACACCTTGTGACCTGTTTTCAGTCGACAGCTGCTCTGGCTGGCCAGGCTGGGGAAAGATCCCAACTTCAAAGTCGGGATCCACCCCAGTGTCTGTGAGCTGAGAGCCTGAACCAGCTGCTCCCTCCCCCTCCACAGCCCAGCACTCCAGTGAGCACTGGGGGGGGGGGGAGAGCAGAGAGTCATCGTTCTGTGCTCAGAGCAGCTGTGAAAACTTGGCAATCAGCAGTCATGTGGTTGCTGAGTTCTCATGTTTAGAGCCGGTGGGGAACAGATGCAGCAACGTAGTGATGCTGTATCCACCTAGGTAAGTATAAATGGTAAAAAAAAGTCCATACTGCTCTTTTAAATGTGTATTATGGGAATTTATGGGGCTTCCCCCAATACAGTGCAAAAGATTGGCTTAGTATCCTGGTGCCCTTCTTGTTTCTGGTTAATTAAAAAGATAAAAAGGTTTCAGATTTTTCACTGCAATGTGTTGTGTTGTGTGTCAGTTTGGGGAAAATTGAGGTATAACAAGATTGAGATTATGGGAAAACTGAATTATTGAACAGATAGACAGATGGAGCTAGGCATGGATGGACAGAAGGAGGAATGGAAAGAAAAGTGATGTATGACTGGAAAGATGGATGAATGTATAGAAAGAAGAAAGCTGTAAGGATGCAAAGCAGAAAGTAATGGAAAACTTCCACTCCAAAGTGCTGTTCCATTCCATTATCCCTATGGTCTTTTCAGCAGAATCTTCACTGGATAAAATGCTTGAGCAACATAAGATAAGGTATGCTTTGAGTCAACATGGAAAAAACAGTGCAGGACACTAATCCTCGTATTTACATTACATTATTGGCTTGCAACATTACAATGGTGCATACAGAAAACTTACCTGCAAGTCCTAGTGTTGACTGGAGACACTGCTAATATATCTAATTTAATGAAGGCTATTGATTCTCTTTAAAGTCCTTTCAGTGACTGTTAAGTAGTAGTCCTTATGTGCATCTTTGCTGGCGATTTTTAATCTGTTAGTAAAACAATACCATTCCCTGCCATCTATCTCACACATTTTTCTTCCAACACAGTCCTACCCATTTTTCTCCACCAATGGCTTCCTTCTGAACTCTGTACATCTGCAGCTTCTGCTCCCCCTCCCCACTGCTTGCCAATAATAAGTAATGCACCCCTGTCCTGTGCTCACTACTAGCTACCCACACTTTCTGCCTCATTTCCATCCAGCATGGTCAGACCTCTATCTGCCCAACATTCTTTCCTGCACCTCCTATTATCCGGCAAACAGTGATGCAGCACCTGAGCATTGTGTTAATCTTGAATCCTGTACCTTCGGCTCCCTGCCCACCTCCATTGGTTCTATCATTTTTCCCCCTGACTACATATCCATTCACTTCATTGTCTTCAGCCATTTGCTTGAGACTGGTTTGGCTTAGTTTACTCCAATAACTGTCTGCCACTGCATCAAGCACTGAAAAATCCATTGCCTATGCCCTCAGCTCCTGTCACTCAACTAATTTAAGTGGAACTAAATCCTCCTATCCTTTACAACCAAAGAAGCTGCCATCTTAGTTTCTGATCTGTAGTTATGCTGCACATATGTTCAGTCATGACTCCAACCATTTGATGTCTTGACAGTTTTGTTGAGAGCACAAGCAGCTGTGATAGTTACATTCATGCATTGAATGTAATTGTTTTGTGTTACTGTTAAATTGATGGGTTTGAGAAGCCAAAAGCGACATCTTTTTCTACCTACATGGGTCTAAGATACCCTGACTTCTAGAATAGAGGAAGCTCCAGTAAGCAATACAGGTATTTGTAAGTAAGCTAAGAACAAAACGATCTCCAACCATTACTTAAAGGAGTATTTGTTGCTATACTTTTATGTATACAGGGGTATTTTTGAAGTATAGAGTTGCATCTATGTTATATGCATGTTTAATTTTAGGAGTAGAGAGATACATGTTTATAAAATTCAGCTGGCAAGGATCATTATCGAAAGGCTTTGGGTTTGTGTTGATGGGCACATTCAGCTTGCTTTTGACATTATTTTGAGATGCTTCTCAGTTTAAACAGAATTTGTGGACAGGTGAATTTGAAGTACAGTTTACTTCCATTTGACCTGCTTCTAATCTCCATCAACATGCTTTTGCATTTCATTAACCTGAATGGGGAGAGAAGCAGTTCTGACACAAACAAAAGGCTGTAAACGCAGGCCTTCACAGCTGGCCACCAATGTCCACCACATTCAGGTCATTCTTGCATCTCTAACTACTCCTCTTGACTGCAAACCAACCATATCAGAACCACACTCTTGTCCTGGAGGACCATGTTATGGTCTCCTACAATACTTGGAGCTGTGTCCTTCATCTCTCAGCATCTTGCGTAAAATCGCACAACGCTGCTAAAATCTTGCAGTTACATTCCAACAGTAAAAATTATTGCCTATCACCACATATGATACAGTAACCAACATTTAGAAATGGGTCGCACAGCCAAGGTGGTGATTGATGCTCAATAGTGCTCTATGACACTGTTTTAAAAAGACGGCACATTTAATTTTTCTCACATATTTTGGATTGCTGTAAATCTTGCCATACAATGAACGTGGCATTATTTACTTTGGCTACTGTCTTTGTATTAGCAGAAGAAGCACACAGTATATAATCGATGCACTGTGTGAACACACAGAATCTGCTGGAGTTCCAGACAATTAGGTCATCTAATGCACTTGCAGCTGTCTGATGCATTGATCTTCAGTGCTGTCTGGAGCAGGATGTCCTTCTAACCTGCAGCAGGCTGCCATTCATTAGTTTCTAAGAAGAGCAATCCCCTGCAGCGCCGGCCATGTCAGTTATCTTCTTTCTTGTTATTATTATGGGCTGATTATTTATCCCTGTACACAAGTCAGCACACAGCTTCTGTGTATTGCTTTGTGTTCGGTATAAAATATTAACATTGCTTACAATTATTCATGCATAGAATATGAGTGCAGGGCCGGGTCTTACTATGTGTCACTTTATTTTCTGCTGTTGCTTTTTGTTTATTTTTTTATATGTATTTCTATTCTGCAGTGTACAGATGACAAATACTCTGTACGCAAAAGGAATCCTCTGTATTGTAAATAGCTCTGATTTCCGTGACAACTTGAACCTTTTCAGTGCAGATGCATTTTAACCTTGAGGCCGTGGAACTGGTCAGGCTGTGTTAATTCATGCATCAACAATTGCGTTGCATGCTGATGTACATTGACGTACATTTGCTAAAAGGTTTGTAGTTCTGTCCCTTCAGCCCTGAGCAGGGGCGGACTGACAATTCATGGGGCCCCCGGACAATAGGGGATCATGGGGCCCCTGTGTCCTTGCCCAAACTCAAAAAAGCCTATGAAAAAGGTACCAGGGGCATCTCATGGGGCCCCCTACTGACCCCGGGCCCTCGGGCAGTGCCCGAGTTTCCTAATGGTCAGTCCGCCCCTGGCCCTGAGATTTACACACACTGTCACATAGTAAAGTCAGGTGGACGGCACTGTTTTTTCTGGTAAAGTTTAGAATAGAATGGTGTCATCTCCTCACCAGCAGCCTGAAAACTGTAGAAGGAAAGAGTAGCAGCAAACTCACTAGGTCATCTCTCTTATCTCCTTCTTTTTCTTGTAAGCACATTTGCATCTAGATTGGATCTTAGTGCTGCCCCTTCCTTTCCCAGACTATGTTCTGCTGTATCAGAGATTGTTGGTATCAGTTTGATGATTGAATAATGTTTGAAGCAACACTTCACAGTGCATGTTGTCCAGAATATTTAAAATTATACTAAACACAAAGTTTAATTTACATGATCCCCTCTACTTCTGTATGTGGATGATGGCACTGTAATTATTTTACTAAAAAAAAAAAATCTACATAGCTTTTTCCTGATTGATATATAGCTGTTACATGGCCCAGCTCTTTGCCAGCCTGTCTGCAGGGAAATAGTGGCAGGAGGACTTTCTAGTCCACTGTTGCTGGTCACATGTTCAAAATAAAAAAAAAAAAAAAAAACAGCCTTTAGAATACAGCATAAAAATAAATAATTAATATCAATAGACTGTTTTAAATTGTCATATAAATATATATTTGAAATTAAATCTTTATTATTTTTTGGCAATAACATGAAGTGGGCGGATTTCTGCCAGTCACAGGCTGTGTCACGCCCTTGAGGCCAGTGTCTTAAAATAACAGGGAGGTGAAGCCTCTATCAGGGGGCGGACTGACAACTCATGGGGCCCCCGGGCAATAGGGGATCATGGGGCCCCTGTGTCTTTGCTTAAACTCACAAAAGCCTATGAAAAAGGTACCAAGGGCATCTCATGGGGCCCTCTACTGACCCCGAGCCCTCGGGCAGTGCCCGAGTTTCCTAATGGTCAGTCCGCCCCTGGCCCTGAGATTTACACACACTGTCACATAGTAAAGTCAGGTGGACGGACTGTTTTTCTGGTAAAATTTAGAATACAATGGTGTCATCTCCTCACCAGCAGCCTGAAAACTGTAGAAGGAAAGAGTAGCAGCAAACTCACTAGGTCATCTCTCTTATCTCCTTCTTTTTCTTGTAAGCACATGTGCATCTAGATTGGATCCTAGTGCTGCCCCTTCCTTTCCCAGACTATGTTCTGCTGTATAAGAGATTGTTGGTATCAATTTGATGATTGAATAATGTTTGAAGCAACACTTCACAGTGCATGTTGTCTAGAATATTTAAAGTTATACTAAACACAAAGTTTAATTTACATGATCCCTTCTACTTCTGTATGTGGATGATGGCACTGTAATTATTTTACTAAAAAAAAAATCTACATAGCTTTTTCCTAATTGAAATAGTGGCAGGAGGACTTTCTAGTCCACTGTTGCTGGTCACATGTTCAAAATAAAAAAAAAACAGCCTTTAGAATACAGCGTAGGTGATCAAGGGGCCCCTGTGTCTTTGCCCAACCTAAAAAAAAACTATGAAAAAGGTACCAGGGGCATCTCATGGGGCCCCCTACTGACCCCGGGCCCTTGGGCAGTGCCCGAGTTTTCAAATGGTCAGTCCGCCCCTGGCGTCCATCAATCTACATGTAATATGCCTCCCCCGTTGTGTTTAGCTGGTTAGTGGGCATGGAGGAGGAAGGAGGGAGTGGACTGTCATTTACCACTGTGAATACGTCCACATGTGGGACTCTATAGTAACTTGGTCTGCTCATGTGTGACAGGGAGGAAATGCTCAGCATAGAAACTCATTGCAAACTGAACATGTGCAGAGTTGCCAACACTGAAAAATCCCCAACTGCAGTGGGGACTTGGACAGAAGGGGGAGATGGAGAACAGCAGGATCAACCAGGTTTTTTGCAGAATACAGAAAACAAATTTCATAGTGACTGAGTGAGTATGAATCACATGTAATATATCATTTATTGACCCCCCCCCCCCCCCCCCCCCCGGGGGGTAGGTTTTTTTTTTTCATGATGTGGTTTTAGTGACACTTTAAGTAAGTCACTGAACCTAGTTAAATGGCGGAGAGAGCCAAGATTTTGGTCCATTTACAGAATCTATACTATGCACGTTCAACATGTGTTACATTGCAGAATATGAACCACTGATGTCATTATTATTATTATTAATATTATTACACAGCATTTATATACAATACATGAGACAGTACAGTAACAATACAATAAAATACACGAGGGGTTCGAGGGCCCTGCTCCTTGGAGCTTAAAATCTAGGAGGGAGGGGAGAGTGGTACAGGAGGAGATAGCTGTGGGGGATGGAGTGGTGGGCAGAGCGGAGGAGATCAGCAGTTAGGTGAGGGCGCGGTTGGCTTCTCTGAAGAGATGGGTTTTCAGGGTGTGCCTAAAGGTGAGGAGGGTAGGTGACAGTCTGATGGATTGGGGTAGTGAGTTCCAGAGGATGGGGGAAGCCCTGGAGAAGTCCTGGAGATGGGCATGGGAGGAGGAGACCAGGGAGCTGGAGAGTAGGAGGTCTTGTGAGGAGCGGAGAGTGCGTTTTGGGTGGTAGATGGATATCAGGTCGGTGATGTAGTTTTGGGCAATGTTATGAACAGCTTTGCATGTCATGTTAGTATTTTGAATTTTATGCGTTGGGTAATTATGTATTATATGTATTATTCTGTATATATATATAATTTGAATTTCCAAAGCTTGCATTCAGTCTCTGTTCCCACAATAAATGGACAGGTTGACATACAACTAAAGGCTTTATTATGGAAGTGTAATCAAGCACCAAATCTAATTACTATGTGATGCCCAAGCCTCATAAAATAAAAAATCTTTACCTTCCCTGATTAAACCAAATCCTCATTCATTTATGTCTCACACACTCCCCCCCCAAGACACTGCAACTCACAGTGGGAGGGATTCAGAAACAAAGGCAGTACTGTCAGTTCAGAAAGCAGTGAGCAGGACTAGATGTGGCCAGGTGCTGAGTGACAAGCTACAGACTTGTGAATCAGAAGTGACATTGCTAGTAACTGCACCTCCCTGAAACATTTTTTTTTCATCCAACTGTAGTGCAAGCAGGCATAGCCTACATAAGTGTGGCAACTCTGCTCTGAATTCAGGAGCGGTGCAGCACGGTTGTCACACCTTCACAGCAACAGGTGGACTTCACAGACAGGCTTAATGGGTATTTGTGGGACTTTGCAGAAGGAGTAACTATAGAACACATGCAGATGCACTTATAATTAAAGCAGTATTAAACACCAAAACAAAAATGGAATATATTGCAGCTTCCGATCCTTAAGGAGTAACTCTACTTTTGTTGATAAAAAAAAATCCCCTCTGGGTGATCAGTATACTAGGCGTGATAATTTAATTCTTGGAATGCCTGCTGCTTAGCTCTATGGTGGTGAGTCACACTGGAGCGTGTTGTGAGATGTTCTAACTTGCACTCCCTTGGTTTGCAGACCAATTGACTCAGTCTTTATGGAGTAGTAGTAGAAGAAATAACATGTGTGTGTTGTGCTATTGGCGTAAAATGAGTGATAGGAATCTGGAGCAGTGGATTACCATCATATTTTGCATGAAAATTGGCAAAAGTGCAAATTAAACTTTAGCTTTGTTACAACGGGCTTATGGTAAACATTCCATGAAGAAATAATCTGTTTTTGAATGGCAAAGACCATTTAGGGGGGCATGAAGATGTCCACAATGACGCAACAAGTGGGCAGCCAAGAACACAAAGGCTGGATGCAAATGTGCACAGAATGAGAACCCGCATATGATCAGATCGAAGATTACGTGTGTGAATGATGGCAGAAGAATTGAACATGGACAGAGAAACAGTGTAGCAGATTCTAATGGAGGATTTGGAAATGAGAAAGGTTTCCGCAAAGATGGTGCCTTGAGTCCTCAAGCACACTGGACGTTTTTACAGCTGCTGTTTGTGGCGGTTTTTCTACAGCCAGTAAACTCCCCAGAATATTATCCTATGTGTCCATGCACACATAGACTGTAATCAGCATTTTTTGACAGGAAAAAAACCCCCAGAACTAGTGGGTTTCTAGAGGAGTTTTTTAGCTGTAAAAACGCTCTAATGCAGAAAAACGTGGTAAAACGTGGCAAACCGGCATTTTTGCCTGTTTTTTTTATAAAAAAAAAACCCCACTAAAAACCGCAAACATGAAAAAATCCCACAAAACACTAATGCAAAAATGCTAAAAAAACGTGGAAAAACTCACGTTTTTAACGTGACTTTACACAACTAACGTTACCAGCGTTAATAAAACGCTCAATGTGCATGGAGCCTGAATCTTGACAAAAGATCAGAAATAATGTCACCATCAATTTTTATCTGATCTTTTGAAGAACGCAGAGGAGTTTAATGTTTTTGTACAGTCCATTCTGGGAATTAAATAGTCACACCTCATATGTTGCAAGGATTTTAAAACATTTTGCTGTAAAGTCCTACCTGTTTCTACCCTTGTGGAATAGCTCTTCTTTGTTAGATCGTGTCTTTTGCAGGACTGATTCTGAATGGGGGCGACTTTTTCATTCTTGATCAACTGATGCACTTGCAAGGCTCTAATTAGCAGCAGGGTATGCACCCCTTTAGAAGAGATGAATGCTGTAGGAGCATCTCACCAAAACTGAGATTGCTTAGGATGCCTCAAATCTGACTTGTATGTTAGTGCAGACTTTTGGAAAAATAATAAGCAGAGTAAGCCAATAACATAAACCAATCACATAAGCAGTGTACTGTATACGGAACACCTCTGGGTTGCCATATTGCAGTGAATTTTACAGAAAATTGCAGTGCTGCAGATTGAAAAGGGATGCATAGCTCAGTGTACATTCTGTAATAAAGAGCCTGCCTGTTTGCAATTTCTTTTCAACTTTGGTTCCCCTTTAAAAGTGGTTCTAAATGCTGAAGTTTTTTGCCTTAATCCATTGTCTGCATTAAGGTAAAAACTTTTTGAGTCCATTGCACTGAGCTGGTAAGAATACAATGTTTGTGTTTTTAAAGAACAAAAATGTTGGGTTTACAATACCTTTAAGCCACATGAACAAAAAGCTGACCATTGTAAGTACCCCGGAAAATAATTTATGGTTTTATTCAACTGCTGTAACTGTCACTTCTGCAGAATAGCTGAAGCTGTAAGTAAATGCACAAATGCATGTGAAATTAAAAAAAGAGTGGATTAATATACTGAACATTACTGGTATCATTAGTGGTATTAATTCAATACAGTAATCAACGTGCAATATTTTTATTTACCATAGTGGGCCTTTTAAAAAAATCTGCTGTAGTATGCTGTAAGATGTCATATATATTTATAGGTGTTTCCTTTACATTTCCTTGTGGAGTTCAGAAGGTTGATGAAAATGCAACAATAAAAACAATACTTATTGAAAAGATATCAGGATAAAGTAAAGCGCTCCATATGCATGTTCTTCTCTCTCCAGCGTGTTCCTCATTGACTGAAGACACTGTTTATGATCTCTGTTTCCCTGTTGTCTGCAGTCAGCAAGCTGCCGTTATCCTGACATTTCACTATTTACATTTGCATTAGAATGCAGTTTCAACAGTTATGTACCCATGTGTATATTATAAATTCAACAGCTCCTGGCATGGAAAATATGCAGAGTGCATATATATATATATATATATATATATATATACACACTATGTTGCCAAATGTATTGGGACACCTGCCTTTACACTTGCCTTTGATGGCATCCCAGTTTTAGTCCATAGGGTTCAGTTTTGACTTGGCCCACTCTTTGCAGCTATAACAGCTTCAGCTCTTCTGGGAAGCCTGTCCACAAGGTTTAGGAGGGTGTCTATGGGAATGTTTGACCATTCTTCCAGAAGTGAATTTGTGAGGTCAGGCACTGATGTCGAACGAGAAGGTCTGGCTCGCAGTCTCTGCTCTAATTCATCCCAAAGTTGTTCTATCGGGTTGAGGTCAGGACTTTGTGCAGGCCAGTCAAGTTCCTCCACCCCAAACTTGCTCATCCATGTCTTTATGGACATTGCTTTGTCCACTGGTGCACAGTCATGTTGGAACAGGAAGGGGCCATCCCCAAACTGTTCCCACACAGTTTGGAGCATGAAATTGTCCAAAATGTCTTGGTATGCTGATGCCTTAAGAGTTCCCTTCAGTGGAACTAAGGGGCCAAGCCCAACCCCTGAAAAACAACCCCACACCATAATCCCCCTCCACCAAACTTTACACTTGGTGCAATGCAGTCAGGCAAATGCTGGTCTCATGGCAACCCTCAAACCCAGACACATCCATCAGATTGCCAGACAGAAAAGCGTGATTCATCACCCCAGAGAGCACATCTCAAATGCTCTAGAGTCCAGTGGCAGCATGCTTTACAATACTGCATCCAATGCTTTGCATTGCACTTGGTGATATAAGGCTTGGATGCAGTTGCTCGGCCATGGAAACCCATTCCTTGAAGCTCTCTATGCACTATTGTTATGCTAATCTGAAGGCCACATGAAGTTTGGAGGTCTTTAGCTATTGAATATGCAGAGAGTTGGCGAGTTTCTGTACACTGTTCAGTTCAGCATGCGC